TAAATGTGTAAATGTGTAAATGTCTTTTTTCGGTGGACAACGTTAATGACATTGACTGTATATATTTTTAGTCTAATTAAATTTTAACATAACATACATATTTTAGATTTTATTGCATATTTGTATATACTTTTGTTTATTTATTTATTTATTTAGTATTTATCTAGTCTTTGTAATTCATTTAATTGTTTCTTTATAGAGTACAAACACTAAAAGTGTGTAACATAAATACCACTAAATACTGCTAAATTATGCTAATCCTATTGTTACTCGGGCTTTCAAAGAAATGCCCGAGGTATAAATTAGGCTTGATTTGCGTTCTGTCACAAATCGCAGTTGCGTTCACAGCGCATGCGCCACATAAACACATGGTCGAGCAATGGCGGAATATTTCAAGGTTTCGTCAGAAGGATGACAGTGTTGACGAAGAATTTTTTCGATTTTCTGCTATGATGCCCGAGTTCACGCCGATATGCGTCTAGTTTTCTATTGTTTATTTAGCACTATTTACTACTAAATAGTGCAAAGTGTTGCACACTTTTAGTGTTTGTACTCTAGTGTCCCCAATTAGCTTATTATTCTAGGTAAATAACTTGACACTTTTAATAAAGTTTATCTATCTATCTATACTTAACACATGTGGTTGTTCGAATAAAGCACATATATCTTCTCTCTCGTAAACACGAACACGTCTTAAAACACTCAATATACCTAATCACAGTTTTCCCATTTCAGACCACGTGTCAGTCTCTTGAGAATATGATTTTTTAAGTCTTCGAGTTGTAATATTTATGTAAATAATTTATAATAATAATCCAATATTTTTATTTCTTATTCTTGTTCTCTTTTCATTTTTAGGCCAAAGCAGAAGCCGAGGAGCTGTTAAAGACCATCTAAGCGTAACTTTATTTATCATTTTACTTATCTTTACATTTAATTTCTACTATTAGTTATAAATGGGTTTAAGTATATTATCTTTCTTGCTAAATTCATACAATTTCAGTGAAAAAATAAATCGTTCATGGATCACTACTCATACGACTCAATCAGACGGTCAGTCATTCAAAAGGTCGGACAATCGGTCGGTCAGTCAGACAGTCGGCCATAAGGTCGGACAATCGGTCGGTCAGTAAGACAGTCGGCCAAAAGGTCGGACAATCGGTCGGTCAGTAAGACAGTCGGCCAAAAGGTCGGACAATCG